CGCTCGCTTGCTGGCTCCCTCCTCGCTTGCTCGCTCTATCTCGCTCGCCCTCTCTCTGACTATCTCCCTCGGTCACTCTCTCTCCTTCTCGCTTGCTCGCTCGCTCGCTTACTCTCCCTCCTCGCTCGCTCGACCGTTCGCTCGCTCGACCGTTCGCTCGCTCCCTCCTCGCTCAAGACAGTTAGCTCACTCTCCCTCCTCGCTCGCCAGCTCACTCTCTCCCTCCTCGCTCGTTTCCTCGCTCGGTCCCTCCCCGTGCTCGCTCTCTCCTTCCTCGCTCGCTCACTCTCTCCTTGCTCGTTCGCTCGCTCCTCGCTCGCTTCCTCCTAGCTCGCTCGCTCCTCGCTCGCTTCCTCCTCGCTCTCACTCGCACGCTATGGTCTTACTCGCTCCCTCGTCACTTGCTTCCTCGCTCCCTCGTCGCTCGCTCCTTGCTCGCTTGCTCTCTTTCCCGCTCGCTCTCACTCGCGTGCTTACTCTCGCTCTCGCTCGCTCGCTTTCACTCGCGCGCTTACTCTCGCTCTCGATCGCTTCCTCGCTCGCTCGCTCCTTGCTCGCTTGCTGTCTTCGCCGCTTGCTGGACTCCCGCTTGCTGTCTTTCCCGCTTGCTGGACTCCGAACCCTTTCTCGCTCGCTCGCTCCTTGCTCGCTTGCTCGGCCGGCCGTTGAATCGCTTACGAAAAAAAACACTTCGGCTCTTTTTCCCGCTCGCTCGGCCTCGAGGCCGTAGGGTCTCTCGGTCGGTCGGTCCACTTAGTCGGCCCGGCCATTGGTCGGTCCGTCCGCCCTACCAGGTGGACTCCGGCCAGGATAACTCCGGGTTGAATTGTGAGGTCCCCGGCCTTGTCCCAATGTTTTGCAATAAATGGTTAATACTTTTCAAAAAAAAAAAAACAAAAAAAAAAAACAGAGAAGTGGTTGTTTAATGTACGAGCTGTAGGTAGTAACACTCAGTCCCTGATAGGGCCGCTGTGGGCCAGTAGGAGTGTGTCAGTTGGTAGGGACTTAGTGGGAACAAGATACTCGGCCCCTGCTAGGGCCGCTGTGGGCCATTAGGAGAGTGTCAGTAGGACCAGGACGTCAGTCCTCTGGGCCGAGTTAGTCCCAGATTAGTTCTGAGAAGGTCTCTCACTAAGTTATTCTACCATTGGATATGAGAAGTCTCAATGTAGTATTGTAATCTGAGGTCGTGGGGCATGCGTTGCAGTAGTAACAGTTATCAAGTTGCTTGAAGTTCAGGCTCAGACTCAGTTACTGGGTTGGTCGCTTTGAAAGGCATAGTTAGTTCATTTGTTATACTCTGCGTTTGCAAGAGCATCCGCAGGTCTCCTACATGTAAGCTCCGCTGGCTGAGGTTGTCAGATACCCCCGGGTTGAAGTGTGAGGTCCCCGGCCTCTGTTTCGTATTGTTAATGAATTGTGGATTGATTAAAAAAAA